TTATTGACAGTATAAACAAATGTGTACACACACTACCCATAGAGAGCTGCACAATGTTCTTGTCCTTTAAAATATCACAATCTAGAATTGTAACTATCACATCCTGAGAAGGCTCCACATCCTAGAACCATCAATGGGAAGTTCAGTCTTGACTAACAAAAAAGGCAGTCCCACTTCTTAGGTGGTGTCTGCTAAGGTCTGTGAACCTGGGAAATTAAACACCAAGTCCTACTTCCAGGCAAATCACCCCAAATGTAAATGGAGAAGAAGAACTGTAAGAAGACACTCCTCCAGGTGGTGAAACCAAATGCTGTTCTCTCCAGTAGAATCCAATCCATGTGAGCAATATTTACTGAATTATCTTCAACAGGTAAGGTTACAATCAAGACATTTTGGGCAGAACAAAGATAAATCAGACACTGTCTCAGTCCTTAGAAGGCAAGCATTTTCATTATCAGATATGTACACTTTTTACCTTTCCCCACTTCAAGTACATGGCAAAAAAAACCACAGAGCCAATCCTATTCACTCTACTTCCTCATTTAAGATCACAAAACTAGAGAAAAACAGAATGGGCCTTTCTAAAATTCAAAGCATCATTCTAAAAGGAGAGAATTTTGATGAAGGCCTTTCAAGCCCTTTCAGAAAGTAAATATAAAGAAATTAATTTACTGTGTGATTGGTGGAAAGGTGGGGATTTTAAATATCTGCTTTTTCATTCCATTGAGTCCCCTTTATCTTTAATAAGACAAGCAGCTCAAAAAACCAGTTCAATCTGATTTCTTGATTTTAATAAAGTTCATTTCCACCTAAATTTCTCTAGGAGCACATTTACTTTCACATAAAAAAAAAAAAACCCTTGGTGATAAATTTGCAAAGATAAGCCATACTGGATAAAAGCCACAAAGAACACAGCTAGAAAGAGAAAATAAGGACACACACACACACACACACACACACACAGCTATCCCTTTAGAGAAAATAAATTTAGGGATTCCTTCTTCAATTGCTATGGTACCCAATTTAGAGACAGTTTATAACCAACAAGAAGGCATATCAGCAAGCAATAAGATACAACAATAAGCAATCAGAAACATCAGTGAGCAGTAAGATACCAGAGTTAGTAGTAAAGACACACCAGGGAGAACATTTCTGAGCAATTACCACATGTCTCCATTCAAGAAGGGAGAGAGAAAAACTTCACTCAGCGAGGACTGGAACCCCATAAAACTGAACTCTCACAGCTCAGGAGCCATTCCTGAGTTGACAGAGGGGGGTGAGGACAACAGCATGGCCATGAATCAGAGAGGGGACAGAAAAGCAAGGAAGGGCTGCTCATGAATGAGAAGTCATTTAAGTCATTTAAGTTCATTTAAGTCCCTGTCCTCCTTTCTGGTACCCTACGTTACAGACATGGCAAATCATTTTTAATAACTATGTGGTTGAGTGACAAGATATGAAGGACCCTCCACCTTCTGGGGGAAATGAAGAGGGATGCCCAGCATGTCTATATCAACTCTGGCCAAGACAATGTCTATGAAAGGGGTGCCTCTGCATGTGCGTGTGCGTGCGCGCGCGCGCACACACACACACACACGAACCAGCTTTTACAAATGTCAGCCTACGAGGAGACCCGTAAGACAGAGCAATTTCTGATGAGACAGATGATTAAATCTAGGAAACTGGCAACTCTCTTCTAGGTACCTTTAAGAAAATAGTAGTACCTTTTTGCAGATACATGCCTTTATAATTTACAAATGGAAGGAAAGATGGAGCTAACACTCAGAATCTTTCCTCTACATAGCACTAGCAGATCTTAAGTTGAGCTCAGGGGACTCCAGCACTAATGGTTACCCTCTCCCAAGTACCTAAACTCAATAAAACCTTTGAAAACACATCTCAGAGACGCTAAGATTAAGTAAAATCATGTACCTTGGAGGCTCAGAAAGAGGAACTTGTATTTACTGGATGGCTGCTAAATGTCAGTTTCCTCTCCTTCCCTGCGTCCAAACTTTTTTCTGAGTCACCCCTTCTTTACAGCAACCATGGTCTGTGTCATTTTATGCATGTGTATTCTTTTCCTAATTGCCCAGTAAAAATCATGATGGTATGGACTGTGTCCCACACATACCTGAAAGACGCAAAGTTACGCGAATGAGGTTCATCATTAAATGCGTAACTCTAGATTTGCTCCCATTGCCCAAAAAGGAAAAAATAAAAATAAAAACACAACACTCTGGTTCTTTAAATATTAAAAACAGAACACTGTAGGGAGAAGATCCCATAAGTGCCAAGGCAGGAGCCAGAAGCCTCAGCCTATTTCCATATAAATAATGAAGAAGAAAGTAACTAGAAATATAATCATAGTAATTAGCTATTCATATGTGATCTTATTTATAGGTGATCTTAGTTATTCATAGGTGATCCTAATTCTTTTACTAATGCCTCTCAGGTCGGAAGTGTGAACCTGGGGTGACACTGTTTTTATCTGACCCTAAGGCAAGACACTTTAAGCCCTCTGTCATGCCTGTGGAAGGGCTGCTGGAGGGCACCTCAGCTGTGCAGCAGCACCAGTGCTGGGAAAGTGCCCGCCGTTTAGCCATCTTGGGAAGGAGGCATCTAAGATGGCCCAGAGGTTTCCTTCCTCTGGGGAATTAGGAGAAAACTCCGCTCCTCCAAGCTCTTGTGGTAGGCCTGACGGCTGTCAGGTAGCCCCACAGACATCCGGGGGTTAAATGTCTCTATGTGATGCTGTGCTTCAGTGGTCACGTTCCATGTCCACTCTCATGATCCGCTTCTGCACCTGGTTCGTTTTTTCTTAGAAGAGATAATCAGTAAAAGTAATATGAATCTTAATGTCTTTGTTATTTCCTAACAAGTGTGGAAAAAGTGCTGGCCCATTATGCTCCTTACCTCATCTCGGCTACCTGAAAGTCTTAAGCCCTTACCTATATGACATGTGATGTACTTGACCCTCTCACCGACCACCAAGGCCACGCCCTATCTACCCTGACCCCAGCTTTGTACCCAATAAAAGTCAGAGCGTTCAGGCACTCAGGACCACTGCTAGACTCCGCACTTTGGTTGGCAGTGGACTCCCGGGCCCAAACTCTCTTTTGCCTATCTCTGTGTCTTGTGTCTTTTATTTCTACAATTTCTCATCTCCATACCAGCAGAGAGGGGCTCACAGAACCCTGTAGGGCTGGACCCTACAGAGCACCAGTGGCACATTTAAAGGAGTCCCACTCAGAACCACAGGCTTAGAGAACATGCTCAAGAGATATCTGTTAAGCTGTAAACTAGCTCAACACATATGGCTGGTATATTTCCAAATTTTGTTTGAAAGAAGTAGTCACTAAGTCCTTGCCATTTCCTTCTTCGAGGTGTACCCACTACCCTGTGCTCTGCAGCTTAACGTCCAGGGAGCAAAGTCCCTGTGAGCCTTGCAGCAAACAGGACAGCCAGAGGTAGCAAGATCCCATGTTAGGGGAAAGAATGACAGCAGATGTGTTTATAGGGGCCCACAAGCCACAGGACCTCAGAGGCAGTGGGGAGCAGCAAAGTTAAAGGCAGAACACTCCATCCCACCTCCGGAAATATGACACAGAACACTGATGAAACCAGATAGGGCCTTTCCAGTAGCATTTTCTACTGGGTACAGGGGTGGCAAGTAGACACTGAAGAAGCATGGTTCCATTTATTAATAAGCAGCTAAACACAGTGGGAGGTTCTCTTGTCTAATTACAGAAGCTGTTGAAAACTGCAAGGAAGACAGGATTTATGGCCTAGATGACACTGCTTCCGTGTTGTAATTAAAAGTTATTTTTAATACCTTTGTTTGGTTAGATACTTTGAATTATTAAAAATATTTGGCAATTTGAAATTTGCTAAAGGACAAAGAACATTAAAAAAGGTAACAACAACCAGCTTGCATAATGTAAAACAATTAAATGTTTTGACACTGGGAAGTAGGAAAGGAAAAGAAACTCTCCCACTTTAGTGTGTGAACTTTTAGAAGAAGGAAAGACAAAGAAATGTTTAAAAGTATATGAAACAAGATTTATTTTAAAGCAGAAACTGATGTCAAAAGTCACCTAGCTACTTTATGCATTAACCAGAGATTGGCTACCACTCACCAAAAGTAGAGACAGCTTGTTCACAACCATTCACCCAAAGCACTGAATCCTAACCTTCAGGGTCTTCACTTTGTCCTGGGTCCCCAGGAAATAGAGCAGTCACCCTAAGAAGAGTAGTCCTGGCTCAAGCACATAGACCCAGGGGCTGACCTCAGAGCAGTGTGATAGTGGGGGAGCTGGTGAGGGGTGGGGGTTCTAACGTGAGAGGAAGGCAACAACATGCTACGTATAATTTGGGTGTTGTGTTGTTTTTCATCAGTTTTCCTGGTCTCATTCAATATTCCAGTTTCCAGAAGGGGCCAAACAAAATGCATCCCAGTGGGAATGACATGTGGTACACATGAGTGGCTACAGAATCTGCCCAGGATTACACAGGAGCCATTTATCACCTAAAGGCCATTTCCAGAATTTCTATTTCTTCATATACACGTAGGAGGCATTTTCTCCAGTGGTGGCTCTTCTTTAACAACAGGGAGGAGAGAAGCTATTATATGTAACAGACTTTCAAAATTGTCTGATGGGAGTATGGAGGAGGAAGGAACTCTAAAAGGCATGAGCTTCTCAGATAACCTCTGTATTTCATTTAATCTAGGCTATGAATCTTCTCATTAGAAGTGAATTCCAGGAGTCCATTAAGAGAAAATGTGTCACAGACACCACCAAATATTACACATCACAAAACTATAAAAAGCATTTTAACATCTGCTGTTAAATAATAAATTGAAACATCTTTACCATGGCCATGCCAAGTTTATAGAATTTATATTGTGTGGGTTCCAGTAAGAACCACTGCACTCTTTTATTCTCTTCGTGGTCCAAAGCAGGGTGTGACTCCATATGAGAGCGGAGAATTGCTATTCTTACCTGCCACATTAATTTTCTCAAGTGCAACCAAGCTGGGAACAGCTGTGGTGGAGTTGGTTGAGTTTGTTCCGGTGCCATTGACAACAAGATTATCCACCTTTGACTCCAACTTGCCGATGCGCTGCAAAATGTTATCTAATAACACAGCAAGAGTTTTCTTCAGATCTGTAAAAGAAAGTGCAGACTATTTTAAAATTCTATGGCCTCTGCATATCTGTCTGGCTGCTCTCTCTTTATCATGGAGAACAAAACTTCTCAAATGTTTCTGAAGTAGTACAAAAGATATGTCAAACTACATCTGGGAGATGACAAAGGCCATCTTCAATTGGCCCAGATCCTACTAAATACATCAGTTTGTTGCAGAATACAAGTCTGGCAATAAGTGACATGGTGTAACTATTTCCAGCTACTTGGTCAACAGGGAAAACACCTTGTTAGTTAGCATCCTACTATAGCACTACATTAAATTCCTCCTCCTTACAGCACCAGTTTCTCACACAAAGCATGACACCCCAAGGGTATAGCAAGATCCCAAAGTGGCCTCTGGATCAAGTTCATTGTTATTTTTCTTGTTGTATACTCTAGCATGTCCAGGTTTTTTTTAAAGTGTTTATTTCTGTTAGTTACATACATTAACACTTCATAAAAGCTACAGCTCCAGGTTTCCAGGTCTGCTGGGTAACCCAGAGTTAACTATAATCAGATTTAGGAAATATTTAAAATAAATATTAGTCATTCATTTGCTCACAAATATTTATTAAACTACTCCCATGTGCCAGATATTATTCTAGATGCTGGGATGTTCTCTCACAGTTCTTACATTTAAGAGTTGGTTCCCTTTCTCACACATCTGACTACACATTAGAGTGGTGCATTTCCCTCTGGATAAATAACAGGAACTCCTTCACCCCTATGGATGCATTTACTGTTTGTAGACAAGATATTCAAAGAAAAAAAGACAAACTTAGACCCTCTCCTCTAAAATTTCATAATCATAGAAAGATATACTGACTTGTACATGTCAGAAAAGCAGGTGGGTGACTGCATAACCATCCATGGAAATAGAATCCAGACCCATTTCTGAATTGGGAGTGGGCCAGGGGAAAAGGGCACAGTGTGGGTAGCAGGACTGAGAAAAGCCCTGAGTTAAGACAAATGGAAAGCTGCCACCTTCCATTCTCCTAAAAACAGAGCAAACTTGTCCCTGAGCAGATGCTGTAATCTGGCCATGAAATAAACACACACGGTCCAGTCAGCAGCCCAGATCACAGCCAGTGAAGCTCGGCCAAGGTGCCCCAGCCTGTCCCATTTTGCCAGGTGAACCAGAAGCAGATGCTGGTGCTGTGCTTCTTGTATAGCTGCAGAATTTGAGCCAAAGAACTCTTTTGTTTATAAATTACCCAGGCTCAGGTATTTCTTCATAGCAATGCAAAATGGACACCTGTTTTATCTTCACATCCACCCCCTGTGGTAGGTGTGACTCCATTTTACAGATAAGAAAACTGAGGTTCACAGATATGAAATAATGAGCTAATAGATCAGAATGAGGGCTTGCCTCAGGACAGCCTAATTCCCCAAAGCCTCAATGGTACCAATCAGAAGTCAAGGATCTGGGTAGAAAAAAGAAACCAAGGATGAAGTTCAGAGTTTTTCATCCCTAACACAGTGGTTAAAAGCCTGACTTTGGAGCCAGAATCTCTAGGTTTCAGTAATAGCCCTGCACCCGTTTCCTTATCTGTAAAAGAGTGACATGAACAATGCTTCAGCTTTGGGGTTGTCAAGAGGACTTAATGAGTTAATATTTATAAAATGTTTTGAAAACCAGCTGGCACACAATAAGAACTGCATTAACTGCCTTTTAAATATATAAGTAAAATAAAACCTTTCACTGGAAAATGTTCTCATCCTTCCCAAAGAAATCTCTCCTCAGGTGATGCAAAGCTTTATTGCTTTATCCATGGGGTCAAGGGAGCACTCTCCTCTGGTGTCCGCAGTCCCACGGTCAGCATGACTCAGTCTGTCACAGGCACATCATCAGTTGGCATAGACAGCGGGAGTCAGTCACCTGTTCTGTAACTGAGTCTAATTCATCAACTGGCTCTCCAGAGTTCTGAAGAGTGCCAGAGGCCAGCCACGCAGAAGGGGGCAACCGTGCCAGCGAGAAGTGGCAATGTTCGGTATAAAGAAATATTCCTCAGATATAAAAGATCAATCTCCCCCGTTCATAGCCTCTTTGCCTAGAGCCTGTGTCACCAGCCAACTAGAATCTGAATAGAATCTAGAATAGCATTTAACCATCACCGGTAATGTAGTTGGCCAAGCACAGAAGCCCTGGCCCTCTAGTGTAACTTAACTCAGGATTTCTCAACCTCCTAATTCTTTGTTGTGATAACTGTCCTTGCCTTGTAGGATGTTTAGCAGCATCCCTGGTCTCTACTCCCTAAATGACTGCGGCAATTCTCCAGATGTGACAATCAAAAATGTCTCCACACATTGCCAAATATCCTGTGGAGGGACAAAGCTGCCCTGATTTGAGAACCAGTGAATTCAATTAGGTGCATTCTCTCAACCCTGCATTCCCCATTGCCTCTCTGTGGAGACATCGAGAGAGAACTGTGACAGAGGGGTTATAGGACAGGAAATGTAAAAGTGAGAAAGGCCCACTGAATGAATTTGCATCACGTGTGACTTCCATTTACTGGAGGGACTGCTACAAACACAATGGAAAGGTGCAGGGAGGGAAGTCTGACTTCCTCCCTGTGGGAGAGCTAACAGAACATGAGCCAATGCTGATGGGCTCTCAAGAGACTTGTGGACATAGTCCTCAATCCATAGTTACTGGTGACAGTCATTAGTGGACCACACTCTAGGTAGGATACAAAATTGTCATACTTACAATTAAGAAGATATTCTCCCTCAGTTCAAATTACAGTGGCCAGTAAATATGACTGACCTACTATCTCTTGTTGACCCCATCTGCCAAAGATTGACCTTCTGTGACTGTGGGACATGGAGTGAATAAGGGGATTCATGATGATGAGGAGGCATCATCATCTTGGCAACCCCAATATTACCTTCTCCACTTATTGAACCCTTTTTATATGCCAGGCAGTGTGCTGAGCACTTTACATGAACTAATTCATTTGATCCTACCAAGACAATCTGAGAAGCATGTGATCATCCCTCTGCCTGTCTTACAAATGAATAAATCACAGCACAGAAAGGCTAAATAATTTACCAGAGGTGATTACAGACCCAGGACTCAAACCCAGTCTTGTTCCAGAGCCGAAGGCTCTTAGCCATCATGCTTCACTGCCTCTTAAGAACTATAACAGACCTGCCCACCAGCAAGCATCTCTGATCTGCTCCTCCTGAATCTACTTGTTAGGGAATAACCTCTGGGATTTTGCCATCTGTTTGTGGGAAAACATATACCCACCACTCTTAAGACGTACTCATGTCCCTGTCCTGGTGTCTACCTGACACAGTATCACTAAACATCTACCAGTTGATACTGGAGACTACCAAACACATCAAGTGATCCAAGATTTTTTTAAAAATTAAGAATCCTTCTAGATCTTCTGCCTTAAAATGAAGATGTAATATAAGGCTACTAAAAAACTTAAATACTCCAGGCACTTTACCTGGGTAGGCATGTTTTCTCTCTCAATATGAAAGAAAAGGCCGGGCGCGGTGGCTCACGCCTATAACCCCAGCTACTCAGGAGGCTGAGGCAGGAGAATTGCCTGAACCCAGGAGGCGGAGGTTGCGGTGAGCCGAGATCGCGCCATTGCACTCCAGCCTGGGTAACAAGTGCGAAACTCCGTCTCAAAAAAAAAAAGAAAAGAAAAAAGATCATTTTCAATTCAAGCAGCTATCTGAGTCACCATTTCAAAGCAGCCAACCCAAGGTTAAGGATGTTGTTAATAAAACACACAGGACAGAGATGATGCCAAGCCCTCTGTATCATTATACAGCGCTTGGTACATTAGGTATGTATTATGTAAACGAACAAAAAAATGAGTGAAACAAACTACAGTACTCTCACAAATAAGGCTAAATAAATTAAACCTTTCCAGGAATGAAATTATTTTGCATCTTTGTATTTTACTGTTAAACCTCCAAAAACTGTTAACAGCTTTATCACAATTTTCAAGAAATAACAGTCCAGCACAGTGGCTCACACCTGTAATCTCAGCACTTTGAGGGGGCCGAGGCAGGTAGATCACAAGGTCAGGAAATTGAGACCATCCTGGCCAATATGGTGAGGCCCTGTCTCTCCTAAAAATACAGAAATTAGCTGGGCATAGTGGTGCATGCCTATACTCCCAGCTACTCAGAAGGCTGAGGCAGGACAATCACTTGAACCTGGGAGGCAGAGGTTGCAGTGAGCCAAGATTACACCACGGCACTCCAGCCTGGGTAGAGCCAGAGCGATACGCCATCTCAAAAAATAAAATAAAGAAATAACAGTACTTTTGTTTGTGTTTTAACCTTAATGGTAACCTTTTATTCAATACAAGTGTATAAAGAATTTCTATAGTTTAATAAAAATGAGAGAAGAATATTTCTCCAAATTCCAGTATAATATTTAATATTTTTCATTGTGTTTTATAGCTATTATGGCCATAAAACATGTCCTCAGCAAGATTATCAGTTTCAACTACTAATGAACTTTTAAAATTCTGTTTGTGCTTCAAAGCCTTCACAAAAAAAATGAATCCCAACATTACTACCACAATTCTGCATTCCTAAGACTTACTGTACATGATGAAGATGAGATCAAAGTAGTTGAAAGCATTTAAAATGTCTCCCTGGGGAAAGTAGGCTTTGGTTTCTATCATGCCGGCATTCTTTGATAAATGATAAGGTCGATTAAACTGCATTGGAACAGGTTATTTGACAACTTCTATTTAGCTTTCATTTCTAGGAAGCCATGGCATTAATGCGTAAGAAGCAGCTGAGAGACATATCCTTGAGCAGGACAGCCAAGGAGCTATAACTGCTAATCACACTTTTCTCCATCTCTGGAATCCAAGGAGATGGGATCTCAGTAGAGAGGAGGGCCCTGCTGGTAGAGTAAGGTTTATAGATCTATCGGCTAACACTCTGTGGCTGGGTGTAAACCTTCATTTTCCAGATAATCAAAATCAATCAATATTTGA